TCCGGTCGTAGACCATAGGTTTCTCTTCATTCTGTTTCTCTTTTTCTTCTTTTCGGGCTAGGTATACTGAGGTAAAAAGCTATTCGGGGGCTAGTAAGAAAATGTGCGCTCAGCTAGTACATACAAAAACGTAGCCTCCGCCACGGGTACACGGCATATCGGAGATAATGTAGCGTAGCATAGCTGGTGAGAAGCACCGCAGGCTCACAAGGTGGCGCCGTTCCCAGCCTTGAAACTGGGCCTCGCCCATCAAATAAACTCTCCCGACTCCTCGCCCGTCTCACATAAACTTTAAAGAGGACAGCTTGCAGACTTTGGAGCCAGAGTCATTGGCCAACATTGGTACTATAGATAGCGTGCCGATTCTGAGTTACTTGATTAGGAAAAACAAAAGCCCAATAGATAAGACTGCATCGTTGCATAGGCGGAATACCAATCTATTTGCTTCTTTTCTTTGTTTTCTATACACTGACAACCAAAACGATTCTCTATTCCCTTTGATCATGGTGTGTCATGCTATAACTCTGCCGTTTTCCTGGCGGAATGCCCTTAAGATACTCAAATGATTCCTCAAATGATTCCTTTTAAGCATATCAGGGGTTTTGGTCTAAAACAACACCCTGATCATTTTCTTCAAACATACCCAAACTATACCCTCATTCTTTAAATACCTCCCTTGAATTCTTCTAATATACCCTAGTGTACAGTCTCTGCCGCTACTGTCAGATACCGTACCTGTGCCGCTCGGCGCCTCCGGCGGTGACCGGTCGGCGGGCCGGGACTGGCCGGCCGGGCGGGCGGGACGGGCAGTCGCTCCCTGGACGTGTTGCTGACCACTAATACAGCACCAAACGCGGTGCCGTCTTCGCTGAGTGCGTGTGGGCGGTGCGACGACATAACAGGCAGCTATAAGCTTGTTTTGACGCGCGGTATGGGCAGCTATAACCAGTCGCGGCGCAAGTGCGTTTGAGCCAGGTGATTCGCAACCGCCACCCAATCAGCATACTGCAATCCAGTGCCGGCAGTGACGTACATGACACGTGATCAGACAGCTGGGCCGAAAGCGCGCCAATTTTCAAAGGGTTTGAGCGCGCCAGTTGAGTTTGAGCGTGCAGTGGAGAAGGACGGTTGTGCTCAGCGCGGGTGATAGCGGGTGTGTAGTGTGTGCATTGATCATTCGAGCAAAGGACGTCGTGGAGGACATCGAAAGCACAGCTGTGGAACCCAGAAAAGACGAAACCTGCACGACAACGACTTTTCGGCGTGCCGGAAACCGGAAAATTCACCCAAGAGACCCTTGGTGGGCGTGTTTGCCCGCACCCGGTGTAGATCTGCATGACTATTTTACGGTCAGCGCCCGGACCCGAGCAGTGCGCAGTATCTGGTCCTATTATCCCTTTTACAGGGTCCCGCATATAAGTTTTGTCTGGTAAAAATGTGTCGTGTAAGCTGCTAGGTGAAAGTCAGCAATTGTTACAGGAGTATGCAATGCTCTAATGACATCTCTTTGGTAATGAACAGTTATTTAACATACACACCATTTTTGCGTTGCTGAAACCACCGTTGATTTTCGTGTTTTATAACCGAAATAGATATTAAATATCCATTCATGATGATCTCAGATTTACTTATCCCAAGTTGCGTCTTATCGGAAGAGAAACGGTGAAGCTATGTCCATGCTGTTGTCACCAATGTAAAACATGAATAATAATAAAAGACCAAATGTCTGAGTTTTGGATGTGTTACGATATGTAAAGGGAAATTGGATGAGGGAGCTGAGAGTAATGAGACAGTTTCTGAGCAAGTTCTACGACGAATATACCTAGGGCATTATTATTTTCCCTTCTGGGTTTATGTGGGGTCTAATGCAAGAATACATTGAGATCAGTGATGGAAATCACAGAATAATATACGGGAGTGTTAAGTGGTATAATGCGAGTATATAGTTTGCAAAATATTCCCCTTGTACGCTTAGAAGGAATACTAGAGGTTTCGATGTAAGGGTATTTTGGTAGGTTAAAAGGAGTGTACTGTGGGTATGGCAGGGAATAGAACAGGAATCATATTCCTTTCCTCTTCGTTACTTACTAGGGTATATTAGAAGAATTCAAGGGAGCTATTTAAAGAACAAGGGTATAGTTTGGGTATATTCGAAGAAATGATCAGGGTGTTGTTTTAGACCAAAACCTCTAATATGCTTAAAAGGAATCAAAAAGGTTTTCAGTGTAGGGTATATTAGAAGAATTTCAGAGCGGTATTCAAAGAAAGTGTATTTGGGGTATATTCGGAGAAATGATCAGGGTGTTGTTTTAGACCAATTCCCCTAATATGCTTAAAAGGAATCAAAAAAGCTCTCAGTGTAGTTCGTTTTCTTCATATTTCCCACATGTCAAATGTCAATTTACTCAGGCATTGTAACTAAACCTAGTTTTCTATTCCAGCCTGAGTCCATTAAAATCAACCTTTGCGATAAGACTGACGTGTTGAATTTCGTCCGGTAACCTAGTAACCAACCACTATATTGCCAGTAATTCACACTTCACAATTCATATGCTATTTCTGACCGACCACATTTCAAGCTCGACGCCTTCCGATAAACGGCACTGATCACTAAATGTGTTACAACAAACGGCACTGTTACGGTGATTTACCTTTCATAAGCTCCATAGTCGAGCAGCTCCCGGACGATTTCGCAGACACCCTCAGTACCGAGACAGTTGGGGAGTCCGAACACGCCCTGGTGCTGTCCGCCAAACGTGATGAGGTTCTTCATCGGCGGGCTGGGACACCGCTGCGCCACTGCCCGCCTGACCTCACACACACACCACACCAGGCCAAGGTCAAGGACACAATGAGACAACACGCGCACAATATTTATACAGAATACATATTAATCGAATCCCGCACGAGGTTTTCTAAACATGCACATTCGACGAGGTACGAGATACCTTGGGCGTGTTGATCTACACCGAACAAATAAAAAATTTTGATCATGGTCTTACCTGAAACTTAAAATTAAATGGGAAAGGATACAAATAATAAAGATATTCGTTCATCACGCATACCAGCATTCGGGATGATGTCATGACTGCCTCAACTTCTGTCTACACTCACAGAAACTGTCCTCCCTGGGAGAAGCCCATGGCGTTGTATCCGCCCTGAAGGCTCTCATCAGCAGCGATCTTCTGGCAGGCCTCCTCCACTTGGGCATCGATCGGCATGAAAAATCCGTTCAGGGTGTCCTGGGGCGGATCATTTTCACTTAGCTGTTTTGTTTGAATTTGATGAATTAACTCAAGAGTACTGTCTGCGCGTTTACATATTATGCATGTATAGAAGGTAAGATTGGCCCGTGGAGTGTATTGAAGAGAGTATCGATAACTAGGAAAAAGCGTGAAGCTTGTGAATTTGTTTACATATTTTTAGCTACCATGCATGTTCTCACATCTATGATGTTGGGGCCGATCATCAGAGATCGCACGTAGACGCCGGGGATGTTCTCCTCCACTGTCCGCTTGATCATTCCCATGCTGGTCGGGAGGCAGCACGAATCCCCTGTGGATAGTCGAGGTAGGTGTCAATGAATGAACCGGAAAAGGAACTGTTCGCCGAAAAAGCTCCGAAAGGTTCATCGCTGCTAAGTTGCCTCACGTCAGCTTTACTGATCTCAGGCAGCTTTTGCCAAATTGTCAGGGAACTCAGATTTGTTTTTCAATAGAAAAACACAATTCTAAAGAATAGTGTTTTAACTATTGAGCTAAGTTGCCTCACGTCAGCTTTATTGACAGAGCTAGTGGAAGCATTGATTGCCAGCTGTCGCTGTTCACCAGAAATCCGGCAAAGATATTTCTTTGGCATCTTTCCACTTACCCATTCCATGCCACAGAATGACGGGAGTGGGCTCCTGCGCCGCAACTGTCACCAGCAGCAGGCTCAGCGGCAGGGCCCAGGAGACGGCCATGGCGGACGAATAGCGGCTCTTCTCGGCTCAGCACCGGCGGCGACTGAGCAGTAGCACACTCGCCGTGAGACCGTCCTTATGGGAGCGCCGTGTCAGATACGGCCGACCCCACCCTGCTGGGAGCCAGCCACCTGTGCCGCGCTCAGTCCCCGCCCAGCAGAGGTGGATGATACTTCCGAGTGTATTTGATATTTTAGACCGAATTCCTAGTGAAGCCGTCCAAATCTTGCTCACGACGAAGGGATCTAGTGGCCTTATCATCTTGTCTTCATCAATGCACAGAAAACGGAATCAATAGGCCGATTTGAAAACTTGTAAAAACATTCGAATTCTTGTTTTCCTAATCATGTCATATTCTAACTAATCATAATCAGCACTTGGGCAGTTGGCATTAATGATCCCCGGTACGTTCATTGCCGCTGGGCCGCTGGCTATCGGACTCGGTCTCTTCCACTGACGTGCCCTGTCCAATACCGGTTGCCCCGCGACACCCCAGGGTTCCCACAGGAGCGTGTGCCTTGTGACCGCAGGGGGGGCACCCCCACCCCACGGCTACGACTATGCCCAGTTGTCCACCAACATGGCTGGAGGCTGGAAGCGCTATGTGACACGTTCACTGGCAGGTGTGGCGCTCGTCACGACCTCTGCGCTTCTGCTCTGCTCAAACGGCCGTCTACGACTCACTTACAGGTAAACAATGAGCAGTGTGTGCTGTGTGTATTTTTTGCTTTACATGATTCATAACGTATGGGTGTAGTGAATGGGTTGTGAAGTGAACGATTATCTTTTACGCTTCGGGGTGTTTTTCCCATCATTCTGGAAAAAAATCTGGCAAAATAAATATGCGGCTTCCAAGCAACTTGAAAAATGTGATACCTTGTAAATGTTAATCACATCTCATCCTACTCAAAACTCCATTTTTGTATGTTTAAGAGTGTTCTCTCGACCTGGGAGCCATCGTTCAGACATTCATGGCCGAAAGTACTCTAATACAAGACTGCTGCCGACCAACCATACGGCAGGGGTTGATGGGGACGAGTTCGTCAGACGCCTTATCGACAAAGACCAGAAGACATTTTCACCGTGGAAGTACTCGCTCGCATGTAGCAAGTACAAAACAGGGTAAGGATAAGGAAGGATGAACAGTCGCGCCAAAATATGCAAAAGCATCATTTATTGTAGATATTTCATATTGGTATGATACGGCAATGCCCTGACCTTTTATGTTACATGGGACTTGAGAGCACTCTGTATGAACTTTGGTGATATTTCTCAACTATAAGCATGCATCTAAAGAAAGGGAGAGAGACAGAAAGAGGGCAAGGGAGAGAGAAAGAGAGAGAGAGAGAGAGAGAGAGAGAGAGAGAGAGAGAGAGAGAGAGAGGCGTAGAGGGAAATAGATGGAGAGATTAACCCAGACAGACAGACAGACAGACAGACAGACAGACAGACAGACAGACAGACAGACAGACAGACAGACAGACAGACACAAGACACTCAGACTAACCGAACCGACAGACATACTAACGTCCAGACATACTAGCCGACAGACAGACAGACAGACAGACACCTTTTAACGGCCGAATATAGACAGTATAGGTAGTGCACACAGTTCAGTAAAAGTGCCACCAACTATGCCTTACTGTCGAACTCGTGCGCACTGCCGCCTAAATTGGGCGTAAAAAGGTGCAGGTACTTACCTACCTACTAAGTCTAACCGACAGATAGTCATACAGAAATGAGACAGACAGACGTTAGGTGGGACAGATAGACAGACAGATAGGCAGAGAGAAACCGACAATGCAGACTACACAGTGACGCAATCTGCATGTGGTGGCGCCGATTGCCCCGCAGGCTGGAGCATTTCCACCGCTCATTTCGTGCTGTTTGTAAACGCGTTTTCCACAGGATGGCGCGGTACCGCAGTTTGCCGCTAATGGCGCTAGCGTCGTTCCCGGGCAGCGGAAACACGTGGGCGCGCTACCTAATAGAGGGCGCCACCGGCGTCTTCACCGGCAGCGTCTACAACGACCGTGGCCTCGCCGACAACGGTGCGAAGGAGGAGGGGTGTCGTCCAAAAAAGGGGTGGCTGCCACATGACCTCTTGGAGGGTGTGGCATGAGACTCGCAGCTGCAGGAGTCCACCAAGGATAGGTCAATTTCGTTCAGTGTGGAATAAAAGAAACTAGCATTTTGCCCACATTTAAAGCTAATTTTACTTGTATGCCTGTCTTGACTGCAGTGGCGCCGGCCAATCTGCGCTGACTGCAATCACACCTCCAGGGTTCTACGGCGAGACGGTCAGCGAGTCATCGGGCCGCACTCTGCTCCAGAAAACGCACGGCTACACGCTGCTGACGGAGCCGACTCCCTCCTGGAGCTCGCGGAGGCGGATGGTGGAGCGGCACGGCCGGCGTGCCGTGGTGCTCATACGCAACCCCTACGAGGCACTGATCTCCCTCCGCAACTTCGCGGCGGGCCACCTTGGCTATGCAGCCGACAAACACTTCCAAGGAGAAAGTCAGTCTCCCTTCGTGGTGTTTCAAACCATACAATTTAAAAGTTTGTGTTATGTCTAACCAGAATGCCAACCGCAAATAACGTTTTCTCTTTTTTTTGCCAATATGAATGCCAACATTAATTTGTCAATTTTCAGTTTAAACTAAGAAGTAAATCGCTAAATAATTGTCTGTTTCATACCCATCTCGCTCAATAAACTTATGAAAGTGCGCTCAGCCAATTTGAGAACATATCTGACATAAGCGCATTGTGTCCCTGCCAACTGATCTTACGGATCTATACGACTGACGCATGCAATCAGCTGGATTTGAGCTTTGTAGTGTGTAGTGTATGCTTTGTCGCTTTCAAAATGGCACAGTCCTTGATCAATGTTACAAACGCGCACCTTTATACAGCATGGAGTTCTTGGGTGACTTTGAAAGCAAATCACTGGCGAGACTTCTATATGGACTGGCTGAATATGACATCGCTGGCACACGTCATTCATTTCGAAAACCTCCGACATGATCACGTTTCAGAAATGCGGAAACTTTTGCGGTGAGGATATACCGGGTGGCCCAGAAAAAAACGTTCCCAACTTTAAATCAACATTTCTCAGAAAGTGATAAAGACACAACATTGAAACTTCAAATAGTCAATGCGGCATATATTCTACGTAAATTGTATTGTTTTTATGTTATTCGGGCAATTACTTTTTAAATGGTTCGTGTTTCTAGCATGCCATGTAAAAATTGCTTTTTTGCTCAGATGTTTACTAAAAAAAAAAAATGTGAGTGAACGGGCCACTTCCATCTCGGTACCACGGCCTGCAGCCATGACTGCTACTGGCAACTAGCCTCACTGATGGTTCAGGCCTTAGGGTGGCACATCCCTCTAGCTTTTTTCTTTATTCGGTCGATTTACTGTTTGATCTTCTTGAAGGGAGGGCAATCACCCATGCACCGCGCCACTCCTGCTCGAAACAGGACTATGTGTTGAAACAATTGGCATCCATTAACAACATTTTGGCTCAGTATTTAAATATTCGGCACATAAGTGGGACAAAAATATTTAAAATAACAACACACGTGCTGGTTTCATTCACGTGTTCCGTTTTTTACTTTTCTTCCTAACATCATAACATGGTACGTCTAAGCCAATCATTTCTACCGTCCAACATCGGCAAAAAAAGCAAAAACGTCTTACTTAATTCAACATAAGATTGCTGGCTTGAAAATGACGATAGAGCGTTATAATTTGGCATACCAATGCGCAAAGAAGTGACGAAAACTTGATGAGAATTTTGGCTCGTTATTTGCACTCAAATGTGAGATATAGGCCTCCAAAGTTCGGAGCGTTTTTTTTTAGGGGGGGGCCACCCGGTATGTCTTGAATGCCATTGTGGTTTGTGCTACATATTTGGGTGAAATTGAACACGATGTAGTATTTCATAATTTGGTTCAAAGTAGTGATGTCAATTACGGAAATTCGGAATACCGATACCAAACCAAATACCAACCAAAACTGCGAAGAAATACCGAAACCAAACCGACTTGGGAAAATGAGGGAAATACCAACTTTTTTACCGATTTCTTAGCCTCTTATACATTAGTGAGGGTTCATGATACCAACAAAATACCAAACACATTACGATTCAAATACCAAATACCAAGTTGGTATCGGTTTGGTATCGGTATACCAAAAAGTTGGCATCCGATTGACATCTCTAGTTCAAAGATATTAATTGACTATGAATACAGTAATCTCTCATGAGCTGCGTATGCCCTATGGCGGCCTTCTTCGGTCAACCGTGATTTGCCATAACTATGCCACACTGTATTCAACAGTGACACTGCAGTTGATTTTCAGGTTTGTTGGATTCCCGGAAAACAAAGGCAGACTAGACTGCATCGAAAAATATCCAGAAGGAAGATTCAGAAGGACGTCATCCGGAAGGCAAATATTTCATCATCGGTAAGCACAGATTAAACGGTTAATTTTTCATGATACGAGATTGTTGCCAAAACTGAGATCCTTTGGCTACCTCCTGACCAAAATTGCTTTGATCAATCGATTGAAGATTGATGAAGGATGGGTCATGCTTCAAATTTTGCATAGCTGTTTTAATATGTTACACATTTAGCAACTATTGCAGAAATACGGGCAAGAGCAGATTCCCCGCCCTCTCCCCGCCGCGGTGTCTCTATTCTCCAGGTAGATGGCAACCAGCTGCTTTCTAGCGTGCATGCGGACACACTCCTCAACTCATTTAGAAGCCGATTTTTACGGCTACGATCTTTCTCATCGATCTTTTTCTACCACAGGGATGTGTTTTCTGCCGAGCACCGCGCGCTGCTGGACTCGGCCATTGAGACCGTTCGGACAGCGCTGGAGTCCGGCGACCACCCACCCCTCCCGCTGGCCCGCTACAAGTATTATCGTCCGGTGCAGAGCAGAGATGGCCCGGCACCTTCAGCGGGGTACCGAACGCCTGACAGCGGGACACGGGGTGACTAGCAGCTTACCAGCTACCAAGCCTACATATTCGTGCATTACACGCAGATGCTATCTGCGTTTATCAGAACAGGCGACATGACGCTGGATCCGACCACTCTGTCCGCATACATCCACGGTCCATCGAGACGCTCCGCGGAATCAGCTTCTTTATACCTGTCTCCGTAATAATGTAAAGGGTGATGGCCAATGACATCACGGCATTGCAGTGCTGAGGAATTGTCTCTGAATCGCCCGACTGTGCATGTGCGCCGGTCGTCCATACCTAGGGCAACCACGTTTTCAAAATATAAATTGTTATCCATGTCCAGACTGCAGCGTACGTGTCTCTCTTTCTATGGTTCGAAGCAGACATGCTGTGACGAAATCAACCATCTATATCGATTATTCTTTCACCATTCGACAAGGGAAAGATATTACATAAGATAGACAGGGGTGGGGTTTTAGGGGTGCTCGAGCACCCCCTGAAGTTCATAAGTCATATAATAGTGTTCCAGGGGTGCTTAAATTACGTCTGAGACACAAACTGCTTTGCGTAAGTCGCCAGGAGAGTGATGCTGCTGAGAAAACGTACCTATATGTGTTTTTCTTCGCAAGAATTCGACGCTTCCATTTGCCATGTGCTAGAAAAAGCACCCCCTGGGATTATGACAATTATCCTCCCCTGAAGATAGATGCCGTTTTGCAGCCATTATTCCAGGATTACAATTTTTATTTAGGTTAACCGGATAAATCCGGTATTCTGTTATCGCTCCAGTCCAGTTTTCACGACCTTTGGCCGGCCACCGGGAGGCCCCCGTTCTAAGACTCCCTCTGATTACCCTCGTTATCTCCACAGACATGGATTAGGCGCCGGCAGCGGCATCCGATTCGGCGTCGGCGGCCGCTTGTGGGACGGTCCTGCCGCCATCGGTGGCACGTCTTATCACCTCGGTTTGCCGACCCCAGCGGGGGTCGCCTTTGGTGGCGTCCCCAGACGCACATCTGGAGGATTATAGAGCATGCAGCGCGGTGGGAAGTACGTTTGATTGCTGGCTAGCGTAGTTATAATTACTACCCTTCGTTCTGACCTGGATTACCGAGGAAGGGTTCGTTTGATTGATGCAGAGGCCGTGGCAGACCTCTGACAGCCGGCCATTCAAAGTGAATTTGTCGACATCTACCTTCATTACTTGAGCAAAGTAGTGGGTGCCTGTGACTGACCTCTTGTTTGTATAAGAGTCGCAATCGATTAAATGAATAAATATCCTTCCAATAGCATGACAATTGCTAAAACAGCACTTGAACGGACTCACATCATTCTAAAAGTGAGCTTCTGTGTCGTTTATTTTCTCCTGGAGCGAGGAGATTATTTTGAACCCGTCCGGTTTATTATCCGTCCCCGAACTCAGTGGCCCGCCGTGTGCGTGGCGCACTGCCGGCGGCTACAAGAGGTCGGGCGGAACGATTCCCCGCAGCCGTGCCAGGCCAGACTTTGGCCGCCTAGCCCGGCTTTGGCTCGGGCACCGGCTACCGTGCGCCCTTCGTCATTCGTCGCGGAGCTCTCAGTCGAGAGCGTTCATTCAGAGGCCGCAGGCGGCGCGTTGGTTACTCGTATTCGTTTCCCACGCGTCATGACCATCAAACATTTCTGAAACGCTTGTATACATAACATGTTTATTACACATCGTAAACTATTTACAATCAAGGGTAAATCCTGCCAGCACGTCTGGCGCGGGCGCAACGTGTGCATGGCTGGCCGGCAAATCACAGTGATGCCCAGTAAATCACGCGATCTCTGACCAGTGCCGCCAGTACGGGAACCGGGGCAGGCACCGCACCGTCCTCTGCTTGGTCTTGGGCAGCAGCAGAGTCCGTCGCAGTGCGGCCACCTTCTTGGGATCCGTCAGCGGCTTCTCGGGGAGCTTCGGGATCACTGCCCGCTTGGTGGTAGGTGCCCTCGGCTTTGCTGTGAACAGACGGTGGAATATGTTAGACAGACGTCCAGAATTGCTACGGTACGATGATTTAGTACACTTTTTTTCAGCACTTCAGGAGCTTTGAGGAGCAAAGTATGAACATTGAATATGCGCCAATGAAGTCTTTAGAGAAAAAATCTTGTTCTCCTGACTCCTGTAGTCAAGGTCTGAACTGAAGTAACAACATTGGAGTTCATGAAAATCAGTCGTTTTGAATAGCTCGAAATACAAAAAAATTGTGAGAGAGACACGAACATATCGTCGAGGGTTTTTTACAGTCCTACATAGATATCAGAGCAACACACACCTTTTGCCGCGCCAGCGATGTTTCCACCTCTAAGGAGCGTAGGCTGCTTCCTGGCGTCACGTCCGCTCTCCAGCTTGACGAGGCTGACGCGCAGCGTTTTCAGCGGCACCGTCTCCCTCGTGGCGGTCAGCGACGGCTTCGGAAGGTCGTCGTAGAGCTCCAGCAGATCGGGCGACCGCCTCAGCTCCTCGTCCTGCAGCTCTTCCGGCTGCAACAGAACGCACAATAAGATTAGTAAAAATGTAATGTTTCCTGTGCTAACCAGGACATTGCAGGCTGACCTCTCGAATGTAATCGTAATTCCAGCATAATGTAGGTAGATATTGGATAAAAGGCTTTAGTCAACCTTAATTGAACATTAAAATTAAGAATCGTAACAGTGCACACCTGACACAAGGACGTTTGAAAGACTTCTATTCATTAACCCGCGCCCTGCTGGGGGGGTGTTTGAACACCCCCCCCCCCCTTGTGGTTTTTCGCGAATATCTCAAAAACGGCGGCGCGGAGCGCCGCCGTTTTTGGTACAGCTTATCATACATCAATTCTACACATGTTATGAAAATTTCAGACCAAGGTCATTCAAGGTCAGGTCACCAGGTCACTTGAAGTGACCTCACCTCATAAAAAGTTTCAATGTCTGTCATAGCTACACCGAGTGACCGATCGCTTTAAAACTTTCAGCGATTGCTAAGGGCAATAGCACGTACAAAATGTTTATCTCAGAATTTTGATATCGATGACCTAAGGTCAGGTCAATTTTGCGACCTCCCCATTATAATGGGTCAATGGGAGAAAATTGAAATGCGCCTCTTTTGGACGAAAGACATTATAAACACTCCCAAACACTGAATTACAAGTAGTTTAGACACACTGAACATGAAAATGGTGTCCGTGACCCCTGTTTATGCCCTGAGGTCATCTTAGGTCACGAATGGTATCTAACAGTTTTTCGCAAATAACTTTTGATAGAGGCATGCTAGAGCGATGAAAACGCATTAGATGTGTTCAGCTCGACGATACGGATCGACTGATATGCAACATGACCCTTTCAGGTCAGGTCATGACCTTGACCTGAGGTCAAATTTTCAAATTGACCTTTTAAGGTCAAGTTATAGTTCATTCGATGCGTCTTGACGAGAGGAACACGATGCCGGTAAAAGTAAGGTCGTGCAAGGTTTGGGTCAAAAGTTATTGCAGAAAAACTGTTCCCGAAAAAATCGGCTATTTTTGCAGTTTTTGCCCCCTGCAGGCAAAACCGTTGACGTTAGGTCAAATCTGAGAGAATTACTCAGAAAGGGCGTTAATAGGGCTATCGAATGCGCTTTTCCGCGGCGCTGTAGCTCTATTGGTTCCCGAGTTATGCGTTGGCATCTTGGAAATTGTCGACATTCGACCTGGAAATCGGCGAAATTTTGCCTTCAATGACCTCTGGTGACCTGACCTTTGACCTGACCAAAAAATTGACCGAAGTGATTTCGTCATTATTTTTGACGCTCTTTCGAACGCCGCCTTCCACGTATCGCTACGTGGCCCAGGAGCCGAGTTAGAAGGGGGGGTGTTCAGACACCCCCCCAGCAGGGCGTGGAAATCCAGGACCCCCAGCCGGGCGCGGGTTAAGTGAGGCTCCCAGAATTAAACAGTTACTTTGAGAGATGCAAATGAGAATTACAAATAATACCCCATGATTTGTAGATATGCAACCGCTTAGGTGTAATTTCAAGGCACTGCCTTGCACTTAACTTCCCTTGCGAGCTTACCGTCAGAAAATACGAGAAGTCTGGCCGAAAATCGTCCTCCGTCCACTCGCACTTTGCGGTCTTCCGTTTCAACTTCGGGATCTTGAAGGGAGGCTGTAAAAGAAAGAAATAACAAAAATGTTAGTGTTTTAGTTAAAATTAACCTAGAAGCATGATTTTATAAACTTAAATCGTGTTGCAGAAAACGGATAAAAGGGCTAGGGCAGTTGAAGAAAAGCACTACGAGAAAAATGTCTGGTATATATTTGACAAGAGATATATGTAGGCCCATTCGTCTCAATGTTAAATCCTAATTATGGGTGTTCACATTCGATGACAACGCAAGCAAATAGCCAGACGGCTCGGCCTCAGGGTGCCTTTGTCAGTGACGATATCGAGATACTACTACATTAATAAACTAGTCAAAATCTTTAACACTTTTAAAGCAAACATGCCTTGGACATTTTCAACATATTGTCCAGGTCATGTTTGCTTCAAAACGTGTAAAAGATTTTGACTCATTTATTAATGTAATCGTATCTCGATATTGTCACTGACAAAGGCACCCTGAGGCCGCCGAAACGTCTACTTTTTAGAATAATTGCGTGTGTTGTCATCGAATGTGAATACATATAACAATGTCCGACGATACAAGTTCGTTAAATCTTAAGTGAAAATGAGCTTGAATAATTGCTACAGGTTAGTCTAAATTAGGTGTCAGTTTGAACTTAAATCACAAATTAAAAGAGCCTCGTAACGCTCATCAACAGCCTAATGAGATATTACATAGTCATTTACCTACTGCAATATTGCAGTGGCTTACCTGTGCGAATTCTTTGAGATCCAACACCACTGGAGCCATACTTCTTCCAGAGATGTGCCTCTTCTTCCTCGACCCGACAGCTCTTCAGTGATGCACCACAAATGACGTCTGGAGTTCAACTGGCGCTTCATGATCCCTTGGGTCCGCTCCTTATATCCTTCCATTACCAGACGACTTAGGTGCCCCTCTACCAGGGGGACGGGCCCGAGCAAAGGTCGGGGGACGGCCGACGCGGAGGAGCGAAAGCGGTGCGGTCTGAGGTGTTCTGAATAACCGCGCCGGCGTGGACTAAGACTTTTATTATAAATGTTATATTATTGTGTGCAAATGTTTGGTGTTCTGCCTGTGTGGTGTGCCTATAGGATTAATAGAAGCATTGTCGGATCCAGGGAACATTGCAGCGCCCAAAGTCGACGACAATTTGCGGCTTTTCGAGAAACGAAAACTTAACAACTTTTATGAGGGAAAGTTTGCTTTAAATTACACAGCAGTGCGTCAGGAAACGAAAGCCAATGAGTTTTTTAATAATTCAGAGAAACTTTTTTGGGGGTATACCCCCCGCAGCGTGCAAGACCGACTTTCTGGATCCGCCTGTGTATAGAGACTGTTGCTATCATGCTATGTCCATCCTTAACCGTTTTTCGTAGCTGCACTTGGTGCCGTCTGCGATATGTAGTTAATTTTCGGTATAGGTTCTTTTAAATTACCTGCTTGCTGATGTTCGTTAGGGTTCATAGGACTTCTTGTATTTTAGATGTGGCCCTGTCGTCAAGTTCGTCTGAGTACGGATAGTTGTTTACCGATATTGTTTCCGATATTATGCATACAACTCTCACCTTAAGCCGTGCCAAGTTATAAGCAAAACGCTATTTGACCAAATAGAGCCGTTATCTCAACTGTTTCCAGGGTCTAAGCCGTTCAAAAAGTATCTTACTTCAATACGAGATCACTGATCATGACTTCTGCGTGACTTTTTATTAACTACTCAAAGACGAAATTATCTTATATGTAAGACTCGGTGAAGCACACAAAGTAAGTTAAAATGAAATCAGTTCACGGCTGCATGTAAAGTCTATTCAATACTGGTACGGTTGCTATTTGTGACTCAATCTGCTGCTGTTGTTTTAGATTTAAAAAATGCGTCATTGGCAATGGTTAATTTGGTGCCGGTACACACCACCGCGCCGATCTGGCGCTATCCGTGAAAAGCTTTGGTATACGGGCTTGCATGGACCTGGCTGATCGAGTGAAACCATACGGCTCCAGTCCAGCTCTCATGACCTTTACCCGGCCACCGGCAGGTCCCTATTCTAAGACACCCTCCATCCACCCTCGTTATCTGCACAGACAGATTAGGCGCTGGCAGCGGCGTCCGATTCGGCGTCGGCGGCCGCTTGTGGGACGGTCCTGCCGCCATCAGTGACGGGCCTTATCACCTCGGTTTGCCGACCCCAGCGGGGGTCGCCGTTGGTAGCGGTTCCGAGCGACGCTGGTTGTTGTTGTTGTTGTAGTTCTCCCCGGGTCGGCTCACGGCCGACCGTAGCCCAACGGCTCTTGGTGACTGAGGTAGCCGCGGCTCAAGGCCGCCACGGCCCCGCCGTCTCGAAGCTGCGTAGGGTCCGGTCTGATATTGCCGAGTAGGCGGAGCCTCGCGCCAGCCAAACACGGGCACCTCAGCAGCACGTGCTCCGGCGTGTCCGGGCCCTCGCGACACACCAGGCAGCGCGCCGCCGGGCAGGCCAGATCACTGCACTGTGGGCAGTCGCGCTCGGGGCGGCGTCCAATTCTGTGAAGGTAGCTCTGCGAGCGGCTCCAGTGTCCCGCCCGCAGCTGGTGGACGTTGACCGCCTCGTCGCGAGACTCCAGGAGCACCGGCATCGGCATCCGGTCTCCCATGATGGTTTTGAAGAAGCTGTCTGGCCAGCTGCGACGCCATGCCTTGGTGGCGGAGCGGCCGACTGCCTTCACCATCGAGCGGACGTCCGTTGGGACGGCGTCTTGCGACAGGCTGGATGCCTCTTTAGCCAGCACGTCCGCTCTCTCGTTGCCGGGTATTCCGCAGTGCGCTGGGATCCACTGCATGAAGACTCGGCGTCCTCCGTCCGTGAGCGCCAGGAGCAGTCGCCATACGGCGGCGCCGAGTGCTGTCGCCTGGCTCCCAGCCCCACTCGCCAGTGTGGCGAGCGCCGCCTGCGAGTCGGCGCAGACGATGACCGGGCTCTCCGCCAGGCCGCCCTCCAGCTGCAGCAGCATCTCCAGTGCCCCGCGGATCGCCACCAGTTCGGCGCGGGTGCTGCTGCATATCTTGCCTGCAGGGGCTCGGAGCTCGTGTTCCTCGCCTGAGGGGAGGGTTATCAGCGCTCCACTCCCTCCGGCTGAGACACCTCCCTCCGCCGAGCCGTCGCTCCACACCCATACGGCGTCGTCTGGGAGGGTGGCCAGATGCTCCTCCGCTCTCTCCCGCCGGACGTCGGGTGGTGCTGTGCGGCTGATGTGGTTGCCGATGTCAAGTCTGAACTGGACCCTGGTGTCATCGATCCACGGCGGGATGGTGACGTGCAGGCGCTCCTCCACAAGTACATCTCGCACGCCCGCGCTCACCAGGGCGCGCGCCCCCGTGTCGCGCCAGCCGGTGGTGGTGCGGAGCCGCCGTGGGGCCGTTGCTTCGGCCACCGCGCGCAGTGGGTCGCCGCTTCTTTGTGAGGCTGCCAGACAGCTCAGTCTGGCAGCGAGCAGGTCCCGGCGTGCTCTCACGGGAACCAGACCGGCTTCCGCGAGGAGCGGATCCCTCGGCGTGCTCACGGGGCACCCGGTGATAACGCGGGCTGCCGCGCGCATCTCCATCTCCAGTAGCTCTACGTGGGACTCGGACGCTGCAGGGAGCCATGCAGCCGCCGCGTATTCCAGGGCGCCGCGGATGTAGCCGTTGGCTACTACTCGCAGCTGTGGCTCCCGCAGGCCCCAGGAACGCCCGGTCATCTTACGGAGCTGTGCGATCCTCGGCTTGGTCTTCTTCCGGACGCGCGCGCAGTGCTCGCCCATGTGAAGTTGCCGGTCCAGGGTTACGCCGAGAAGGTGAAGGTGTCTCCCAGCGTCCACTCGTGCCCCGTCTACGTGGATGTACAGGTCCCGGGCGTCGACGTAGTGCTGCGACAGGGCTAAAACTTGCGTTTTGCTTCCTGCCAGCCGCATCTTCCAGTCGCGGGCCCATTTCGCTATGGCATCCGCCGCTTGTTGAGCCCGGTCCCTGGCTTCCGCTATCGTACCGCCGGAACACAGTGTTGCGGTGTCATCGGCGTACAGGAAGACAGAGGTGCCCGGGATCCGCTTCAGCGCCGCCACGAGGTCCGCCGACCACAGCGTGAACAGGGTCGGTGCGAGGACGGACCCCTGCGGCAGGCCAGCTCGGAATGGGCGGTTCCGGCTCCGTGACCCATTGACCTCCGCGCAGGCGCGTCGGTCTCGGAGGAAGTGGTGAATCCACGTGACAAGGCACCGTGGAAGGTGATGGGACATCTTCAGTCGCAGCATTTGATGGTCGATTACATCGTAGGCGCGGGAGAAGTCGTAGGCCGTCAACACGAACCTAGCGGCGGTCTTGCCGTCAGACGGGCGTCCCTTCGGTGGCGGCCGGTTCCACCCGTCCTGGACTTCTTGTATGAGTCGTCCCAGGTTCTCCTCTGCAGAGCGGCCGCGGCGAAAACCGACCTGCTCTGCGGGGATAATGTTGTCTCGCTCCAGTAGGTGCGTGAGCCTAGCTGCCACCATCCGCTCCATCAGCTTGGCGACGTGGCTGGTGAGCGATATCGGACGGTAGCTAGTGACCTCTTGAGGGTCCTTCCCGGCCTTAGGGATCGGTATGATGATTGCTCTCCTCCATACCGAGGGGACTTCAGCGGAGCTCCACGACTTGTTGATGACGTGCAGTAGCGCGGCCTGGGCCACCGGCCCGAGGTGCTTGAGGTGTTCCGCACATACATCGTCGGCGCCGGGAGCCTTCTTCATTTTCAGCTTGCTCAGCTGGGTCCTCATCTCTTGTCTGGAGAAGGGCTGGCAGGCACCATCGCGCTGTCCAGCACATGAGCAGGGGCGCGTCTTCACCACCCTCAGATCAGCCTTCACTGATCGATCACGCCTCCTGTGACGGGTGTGGCTGCTGACGTTTGCGTAGGTGCGGACAAACGCCTCGGCCTTGGCCCGGTCCTCCGCGACGAGTTGGCCGCGGTCCCCGTTGATGGCCTGGCCGGGGCAGGTGTCCGTCACCGCACCCTCCATCTTGCGCAGGATCTTTGTGACGCGGCCCAAGGCCGCGCGGCGGTTCAATTCGGTAGACGCGAAGTCCTGGAACGCGCGGCGCCTGGCGTCAGCCTCGACATCTGCAGCGTGCCTCTTCTTCTCTTTCCAGCGCGTCTGGTTTTCCGGGGACGGGTCCTCTTGGACGGCTGCTCTTGCCGCTCTCCGTTCCTCCACCGCACGCACCAGCTCCGGGTCGAGCGCCCACGGCTTGGGGTCCGCACGGGCGCCCCGGGGAACGCACCGCGCGCTCGCCTCGATGATAGCATCGTTGAAACGCGCAGAGAGTCTCTCCACCGAGGTCTCACCCAGCGTCAGGTCAGCCATCGTCTCCTCGCAGCGGGCCGTGAAAGCCGTCCAGTCGGCTTTCACGGCCAGCGACCAGCGACCGTGAGGCCCCCCCCCAGCGCCAGCGACCAGCGACGCTGGTCGCTGGCCCCAGACGCACACCTGGGAGATTAGAGCAGGGAACGCAGTGGAAAGTCCGTCCACTTCGTTTCTTTGCCGACTAGCGTAATGAGCCCCTTCGACTTAACCCGCATTACTGAGGACAGGTTCGATTGATTGATAAGGTGGCCGTGGCAGACCTCTAACGGCCGGTCGTTCAAAGCTATTTGTCGACATTTACCTTCATAACGTGAGCAATGTCGTGGGTGCCTCTGACTGATATCATGCTTGTAGAATCTCATTCGAGTAAATGAATAAATATCCACCCAATAGCGTGACAAATTCCGGAACAGCGGGTAGATGTCAGTACCGAATCGCGGCACTCCAGTTAGCGCTACTTTCTTGTTTACTTTCTCCTAAAGCAATGAGTTTAATTTGAGCCCGACTCGTTTATTATCCGTCCCCGAACCCAGCCGTCCGCCGCGTGCGTGGCGCCTGCCGGCGGCTACGAGAGGTCGGGCGGAGCGATTCCCCGCAGCCGTGCCTGGCCCGACTTTGGGCGCCTAACCCGGCTTTGGCTCGAGCGCCGGCTACCGTGCGCCCCTCGTCATTCGCAGCGGAGCTCTCAGTCGAGAGCGTTCGTTTGTAGGCCATGGGTGTTACAGTAGTTACCCATATTCGTATTCCGTGCGTGCAATGTGCATCATATTCCCTTCATAAATGTTTTTATACACAACATGTTTATTACAATTCATACACTATTTACAAGCAGGGAAAACCCTGTCAACACGTCTGGACGGGCTCTTGGCACAGCAGTCGCGGCCTGCCGGCGAATCAGTCGAGGCCAGACGATCACGGGATCTCGGACCAGTGCGTGCCGCCAGTACGGGAACCGGGGCAGGCACCGCACCGTCCTCTGCTTGGTCTTGGGCAGCAGCAGAGTCCGTCGCAGCGCGGCCACCTTCTTGGGGTCTGTCAGCCGCTTCTCTGGGAGCTTCGGGACCACGGCCTGCTTGGCGGCAGGTGCCCTCCACTTCGCTGGGAACAGACGGTGCAATATGTTAGACAGACGACAGACGTCCAGTCCAGAGTTGTCCAGGTTTATTGAGTGAGTACACAGTTTTTTAGCACTTCAGGAGCTCTGAAGAACAAAGTACGAACAGATGCTATGCAATTAGACAGACTTTGAATTATTTCGCAATTAAGTTTGGTCTGTGGTGAAAGGTTCATTACAGTTTATGAAGGTCCGCTTTTGTTTTCGATAGCCCGCAAATGCATAGTTTAGTATTGGGACACGAACTTATCAGGCTATGTGCCAGCCTAGACATCAGAGCAACATTGACATACCCTTTTCTGATCCAGTAAGGTTTCCACCTTTAGCGAGCGTCGGCTTCTTGAAGTCAGGTCTGCTCTCCAGCTTCACGAGCTTAACGCGCAGCGTTTTCAGCGGCACCGTCTCCCTCGGGGCGGTCAGCGACGGCTTCGGGGGGTCGTAGAGCTGCAGCAGATCGGGAGATCGCCTCAGCTCCTCGTCTTGCAGCTCTTCCGGCTGCAACAGAAATCACAATAAGATTAGTAAAAATATGTTTCCTGCGCTAACCAGAAGGACATCGCAGGCTGAACTCTCGAATGTAATCGTAATTCCAGCATAATGTAGGTAGATATTGGATAAAAGGCTTTAGTCAACCTTAATTGAACATTAAAATTAAGAATCGTAACAGTGCACACTTGACACAAGGATGTTTGAAAGACTTCTTTTCATTAAGTAAGGCTCCCAGAAATAAACAGTTACTTTGAGAGATGCAAATGAGAATTGCAAATAATACCCTATGAGCTGTAGATATGCAACCGCTTAGGTGTATTTTCAAGGCACTGCCTTGCACTTAACTTCCCTTGCGAGCTTACCGTCAGAAAATACGAGAAGTCTGGCCGAAAATCGTCCTCCGTCCACTCGCACTTTGCGGTCTTCCGTTTCAACTTCGGGATCTTGAAGGGAGGCTGTAAAAGAAAGAAATAAGTTTTAGTTAAAATTAACCTAGAAGCATTTTTATAAACTTAAATCGTGTTGCAGAAAACGGATAAAAGGGCTAGGGCAATTGAAGAAAAGCACTACGAGAAAAATGTCTGGTATATTTGACAAGAGATGTAGGTAGGCCCATTCGTCTCAATGTTAAATCCTAATTAATAATTATGGGTGTTCACATTCGATGACAACACAAGCAAATAGTCAGTGACGATATCGAGATACCATTACATTAATAAACTAGTCAAAATCTTTAACACTTGTAAAGCAAACATGCCTTGGACATTTTTAACATATTGTCCAGGTCATGTTTGCTTCAAAACGTGTAAAAGATTTTGACTCATTTATTAATGTAATCGTATCTCGATATTGTCACTGACAAAGGCACCCTGAGGCCGCCGAAACGTCTACTTTTTAGAATAATTGCGTGTGTTGTCATCGAATGTGAATACACATAACAATGTCTGACACGATACAAGTTCGTTAAATCTTAAGTGAAAATGAGCTTGAATAATTGCTCCAGGCTAGTCTAAATTAGGTGTCAGTTTGAACGTAAATCACAACTTAAAAGAGCCTCGTAACGCTCCCCAACAGCCTAATGAGATATTACATAATCATTTACCTACTGCAATATTGCAGTGGCTTACCTGTGCGAATTCTTTGAGATCCAACACCACTGGAGCCATACTTCTTCCAGAGATGTGCCTCTTCTTCCTCGACCCGACAGCTCTTCAGTGATGCACCACAAATGACGTCTGGAGTTCAACTGTCGCTTCATGATCCCTTGGGCCCGATCCTTATATCCTTCCATTACCAGACGACTTAGGTGCCCCTCTACCAGGGGGACGGGCCGGAGCAAAGGTCGGGGGACGGTCAACACAAAATGGCCGTAGCGGAGGAGCGATGCCGAAGCGGGCGGCTGAGCTGTTCTGGGTAACCGCGCCGGTGTGGACCAAGGTTTTAGTTATCAATGCTTTATTATTTGGTGCACATGTTTGGTGTTCTGTCTCTGCGGAGTGCCTATGTATATGATCGTGAACTTATGTTGAAGCGCGATCAGGCTCGTGACAATTGGCTCATGTTCCGATCGAATGATCTCCGACGTGAGTACTGTGCCCTACGTAACTCGGTCAAGAGCAGACTCGTACGTGCGCGAAAAGAATTTTTGTGTAGTCAGCTAGCAGCTAAGGACTTCCGTGGGTTCTGGAGTCGCTTCAATTTGTTTGCTAAGAATGCATCGGCTGGTGATGGCGCTCCTACGTCATTAGATCTTGATGTCGCTCAAGCTGACAATTTTAATGATTTCTTTGCTAATGTCGGCGCCAAAATTGCATCTGAATTGCAGTCTACTGGTCAGGCTGAGGGGACTGACGATCGTCCCCCAGTAGTATGCGCCACCGGTTTTGAGCTGACGCCTATCACTCTGCCGGAGCTCTCAACAGCCGTGCGTCACATGAGTAGCTCCAGGGCTGTTGGTATGGATGGTGTGCCAATTTTAGCTGTGCGTCGCTGCTTCGCCGTCATTGGACCATTGCTGCTTCATGTGATTAATAAGTCGATTGTTACTGGTGTGTTTCCTGATAGCTGGAAAATAGCTTGTGTGGTCCCCATTCATAAGGCTGGCGACCGTGGTGTAGCTGGTAATTACCGGCCTATCTCTTTACTGCCTGTCATGTCTAAAATCGCTGAGCGTGTAGTGTGCACCCAGTTGAGTGATTATTTGTATGACAACCGTCTACTGAGCGCATGTCAATACGCTTACCGCCGTGGCCACTCCACGGAGGACGCCGTACTCAACGCAGTATCGTGGGCCGTTGATAAGATCGACAACGGTGAGCTCACGTCGATAACGACGATCGACCTCAGTAAGGCCTTCGACAGTGTTGACCACGGCGTCCTCTTGAAGAAAATGGCATGGATGGGTGTGCCTTCACATTGGTTCGACAGTTACCTAAGCGGACGGGGGCAAATGGTACGAGGTGGGTCCAAGATCTGTCCTGTGAACTTCGGTGTTCCTCAGGGATCTATTGTGGGACCTATTTTGTTCAGCATATTTGTGGCAGATCTTCCGGGACATCTTCCCTACGGCCGTTTGGTTTGCTATGCGGACGACACGCAGCTCCTCGACAGCTCGCCGCCAGACAGTGAGAGTTTGTCACAGCTCAGAAAGCGCATAGAAAAGTCAATGGCTTCCGTTCAAAACTGGTTTAGAAGTAATTCTCTAAAAATGAATGCATCAAAAACAGATTTCATCCTCCTTGGCACCAGAAACTCGCTTCAAAAAGCATCTGGTTTCGCTTTCACGTTCTCAAACAGAACCTTTCATTCTTCAAAAACGATCAAACTTCTTGGTGTAACTGTTGACCAGACGTTAACATGGAATCAACACATCTCATCAGTTGTGCGCCGTTGCTACAGCATATTGATTTCGCTTTACAGATTCAGGCGTAGCTTCACTACCGAGGCCCTGCTTGCTATTATCAAAGCTCATATCTTCTCTCAAATTATCTACTGCTTACCAGTTTGGGGCGGAGCTGCCGACAAAGAACTTAAGCGACTGCAAAAAATGATTAACTTTGCGGTTCGTTTGGTGACCGGTTCGAAGCGCCGTGATCACATCACACCAGTTCTTAAGTCGCTCCACTGGTCACGGATTGGCGAGCTGGTGGAGGAGCGTGATCGACTGAAGGTGCACCGCGCAATCTGCGATCCCCATGCACCAATCGTGGTACAAGACATGTTCAAACGTCGATGTGATGTGGCGACTCGTGACACGCGCCTGACAGATACAGAGCAGGTGCACCTACCGAAAGTGCGGCTTATTGCCACTCAAAAACACTTCATGTACAGGGCTGGCTCGGCATGGAACCGGCTGCCCCGAGAGATCCAAGGCATGTCCAGCATATTTGCTTTTAAACGGGCGATCAGGCCACCACGAAATGTATAGTTTGATGCTGAAGTGGTCTAAGGTGTTGCCTTGGTCCTGTTTTTTCTTTTTCTCCTCTTTAGTGAACTCGAACGCGGCTCGAGGAAAGTGCATGTGCATTGTGCATAGTGGTTCCCTGATCATGTGCCATCCTGAAACAACTATGCCTGCATGGAAGGATGTGCAACAAATAAATAAAATAAATAAAAATAAATAAGATTAATAGAAGCACTGTCAGATCCAGGGATTATTACAGCGCCCGAAATCGACAATTTGCGATCTTTCGAGAAGAAAACGAAAACTAAACAGCTTTTATTGGGAACAGGTTTATTGGGAACAGGTTTTGGGTCAAAAGCTTTGGTACGTGCTTGCATTGACCTGGCTGGTCGAGCGAAATCATGCGAAGGTGCACACAGATGCACACAAATCATGCGAAGTCACACAATCCCCTTGTGAGTATCCTTCCACTGTTTTTAACTGGATCAATCCGGAATCAATGATCGCTCCAGTCCCGTTCTCATGACCTTTGACAGGCCACCAAGAGGCCCCCGTTCTAAGACTCCCTCTGACTACCCTGGTTATCTGCACAGACAGATTAGGCGCTGGTAGCGGCGTCCGATTCGGCGTCGGCGGCCGCTTGTGGGACGGTCCTGCCGCCATCAGTGACACGCCCTATCACCTCGGTTTGCCGACCACAGCGGGGGGTCGCCGTTGGTAGTGGTACCGAGCGACGCTTACCGCCGTCCCCAGACGCACATTTGGATATTAGAGCGTGGAACGCGGTGGGAAGTCCGTCCGTTTTCCCTGTAAAGCCTGGAGCAATTAACTCCCATCAGGTAGGTACTGCGTCTGATGACCCACCACCAAGAGTGAGGAAGGAGCATGTGATTCAAATGTTTGTGTCTTCCGATAGCCGATTAAAGAGAAATTGACATACCTACCACGTAGCGTTTCGTAGTTCAAACGGAGAATGCTGGAATGCGGAAAATGAAATAAGTTCGAGAGAGAGGGAGAGAGAGAGAGAGAGAGAGAGAGAGAGAGAGAGAGAGAGAGAGAGAGAGAGAGAGAGAGAGAGAGAGAGAGAGAGAGAGAGAGAGAGAGAAGGCACGGTGCCTTCGGTCGATAAGAGTGGAGATAAGTGTAATTTTGAACCCTTTGTCAAACGTCAAGCTTTCTTTCGCTTTTGTTTCACAGCGTTTTAGAATACGGCAGCCTGCTGTTAGAGCCGTTAAGTTTTGTCATTTTCTCATATTGCGTGGTCACAGCCGTTTAACCCTTCATACCGAGGATATCATGATATTCCCATTTCCCAGAGGCTGGCTAGTGGCTACCCTGAGGCTGGTAAAGACAAAAATTTAAATCATATATGAAAGTCAAATGCTTTGACATAAAACACAGGGCAGCAAATGACAGCTATCCTAACTAGTATTTTTCATAGCTCTTCCACATGTGTCATGAGATTGCTGTCTATGGTCATTCTAGGTATCTGTTTTAACCTCTAACTCATGATTCGTCCGGATCAATTTTGCATAATAAGAGCCGCATATATTCGATAACTCATCGTTGTTGACCCGAATAAAAAAATGGCTCGTGTTTTCAAGAAAAATCAAAGCCTAATCACTATTCCGACGGACCAGACAATGTCACCGATGACCAAACGACCGGTATCATTCCGATGAGAGACGAGCTCGGATGTTTCGACATAAGACACAGGACGCCGACCTGCAATGGCTGTGCACGCTGGCGGAGCTCGTTGAATCGATGACGCTCGCGCTAGTCAGAGGCACGGCGGCCGGGACGCAGTGCCTATCGAGACGCGACCGCCGCCGGCGGGGGCGAGAGTGTCGCCGCTGACAACATGGTGATCGGCACTTCGGGTGCTGTCTTTTGTTTCGAGTGGTGATCCTTGGTTGGTGACAGGTTGATTGTCGTAGAGTGGTGTGCCGCTCTTCATGCATGGTATTGCGAGTGCCTATAAAGGTCACGTCACGGCTCAATCGCGTGTCAAAGGCCATGGGGAGTGATGTGCAATATGCATTCCTGGATATACTGAATAGATATGTGCTTAATATTTATCCTGGATATCTTCAAGATAAGCTTGCAAGATAAAAATAGCATACGCATCGGATGTAAGCGTTTTCAAGAGGACAATCCTGTCATTGATTGGTGGTCAAGAATCTAGAACGTCAAGCAGCCTTCACGTTTAGTGACAGTGACCCTTAGAGAAAAGGAGTTTCGTCGTCTTCGCCAGGGCACCCGTAGCGATTTGCGACTGTAAGGACGTCTCTGGCCTGCGCCCGACACGAAGCTGGACCCGGCGGCGATGGGATCGGGCAGCAGCACCGGCGGTGAGTATTATGACGGAAAAATTATTGAATTACGACGCACAGACAATCACGTATAGCCAGGGCGCGAGTGCACGAGTGCTTACCTATTCTTGGGTCAGTGAGAGAATCCACATATCGGAGGGGCTCAGTGATCTGCAACGTCCCCAAAATTATATCAGAGTGTCCTCTTTTCTTATAAGGTGCCCGTCAGTCTCAGACGGCTCACGCCAGCCCCAGAGGACCTTGATGCTACTATAAGGACGTCGGCAGCCGTCTGAGAGGAATCAGGAATTCTTGGTTTTCAGTCGGACCATGCTCCTGCCAGAACTATTGACTCCAACCGACTCAGATTCTGACTCCGACTGCCAACCGTGCCGGTGCAGGGCCCTCTGAGACCGGGCTGGGCCCTTAGAGGCCCGTATTTCAGGTTCTTAAAGTCTATGAGGTGCTCCCAGCGACCGGCGTCGACCCTTGAGAGGTTGCACTTGTTCCTCCGAGCCTTTGGCTCCCTCGAGCAAATCGTGAAACAATAAGCGAGGTTGGCCTACGTCCTCACTGTCAGAGATATGTGTGGGGCCCTT